GAAGGGCCTGTTTCTGTGCTGTATGACGCTGACTGGAGCATTACAAACAATTGCCTTCTATTTTTTTAAGTATGTAAAGATAAGCCAAGGAAATATAGGTCAATCAGCCTAACTTTAGTGAATCTTCTTCTGGAAACCAATTCGGACAAAATACTCGTGGACAAATGCTGATTAATAAATGAGTCAGCATGGATTTCTTAAGCCAATATGTTTAATTTGAGTTCTGTTCTGAGCTAATTTTGACCATGGGACTGCTTTTGTGGTTGGTACAACAGACTTGAGCAAAAGTAACCTTTTGTGGAATAAAAGGAACACTGGTATGTGAACACAATTGGTAGTGTGATGGGAAACGGAATACTAGTAGGAAATTCATGTTTTGATGGGCTGGTAGCATGTTTGTAGCAGAATTCCCAAGGTCAGTGTTGGAACTCTTTGCCTGTTTCATAAATCTTTAAACTTGCAGTTGTGACCCTCAGACTTATAAACGTGAAACTATTGTAAATTGAGAATGATGTAAAACTTAAAGGTCATATCCAAGTTGTGGGCAGACAGGTAGCAGGTGAATGTCAGTGCAGAGAAGTGAGGTGACACATTATGACAAGAACAAGAAGAAACAATAGGAAATAAGATGCAATTTTGGGGAGGCAGGAGTAGAGAGACCTGAGTTTAGATGTGCACGAGTGGCAGACTGGTTGAGAGCTGTTAAATCAGGCAGTAGTCTGTGCTTTAATAAGGATGCAGTACAAGAATAAGGTTGTTATGAATTTGCCTAATGTTCACCTTTTGCTAGAGTACTGTTTGCTTTTGGCAGCCATTCTTCAGGATGTGAAGGCATCCAACAGTGGCGAAGAGAAGTTTGAGAATGGCTCCACTGAGTAGGAATCTCCTTATGAAGTTAGGACTCTTGAACCGCCTCAGTCTTTCCATGAAATTGAACTTGAATTGTGAGGGATCTAGACATAACAAAGACTGTTCCCACTGTTCCCAAGAGGGTGCTTTACAATCAAAATTTGAGGAAAAATATTTGACTTGAAGTGGTTAGGGTCTGGAAAGCATTACCCAAGTGGTGAAGGCAGGTTTAATTGAGGCAATTGAAAAGGACTTGGATCATTATTTGAAAAGAAGAATGTGCAGCCTTACTGGAAAAAGGCTGGAGTGTACAGCACTAAGTGAGATGCACACTTGACTAGTCAAGGCTGCAGAGCTGTCACCTTTTTACTGCAACGATCATTTGCAATCCAAATTTTTGTCAAATTAATTCCAAATTAACTGTTTTTCACAATCTGATTGTGACTATCACCATTTTATTAACAATCGATCATTGTCCTAAGAACTAACACCACTTTGAACTGGTGTGGTGTAACGGACTTTTAAAGGATGACTGGCACAAGCTTGGAATCCTTTTGGCCTTTTTTCTTTAATTAAAGGCATAATGAACCTTTTTTGCAATGTTCTGATAGCTTAACTTTCTTAACTGCTGGATTTTTGCCTAACAATTCAAATGCACAAATTAGTATCAGGTTTGAATTGTTTTCTGGATTACTCTATCAATGCAGCCACAACAAAAACAATATTGATGCTAGAAATGAGAAACAGAAAAATAATACTCTAGTATAGCATCTATGGAGAAAGTATTGATGCTCTGAGCCTCCATTTCTTTTGACATGGTTTCTCTCCAGGTGTTACCAGACCCCTGAGTATTCCCAGCAGTTTCTTTCCATTTTAGTAAGAAGTCTGGCACTGTAATTGTCATGGTGAATGATGACATTTTTTTAAAAAAAAAAAAAAAAAAAAATGGTGTGGGGGTTTTTTGGGGCCCTGAGACTGAACTTTTGGTTGTATTCTCCAAACTGTCAAGTGAAGGGAATTTTCTCAAACTAGAAAGCATGGTATTGAATTTTTGAAATGGTAGTACAGGGTGTTAAGATTTTAAAAGAACAGGGAAAGTGGTACTTTTAATGTGCAAATACTTAAAGGAATTAGGCAGCTATAAAAGGGGAAATTTTTAAATTTGCACGAAGGGACAAAATACAAAAATGTTATACTCTGCAGTGAGTGTGAAAGTAAGAATTTTGCATTTGTAGTGTCTTCCATTAGATTGATATCCCAAAGCAGTTGCAGCCAATTGAGTAATTAAGTAAATAACTGGTGTATTATACAAAACAAACAGCTAATTTGCACTCAGGAAAGTCCACACAAACATCAATGTGATGTCATGTTTATTGATTGATTGAGCTAAGTCACCAAGGAATTATTTTCAGAATAATACAATCAGATGTTTTTCATCTGAGTAGACCAGTTAAACATCCCATCCAAAAGACAACAGCTCCAACAATGCAGCATTGCCTCAATACTGTGCAGGTGTACTGGTATGCGACTTGAACTCTCAACTGTCTGACTCATTACCAAATGGATACTGACAGATGTCTCAATGTGGTTTTTGGTGCTCCTGCTTTCATTGTAACAGAAGACCAATGAAAATGTAGATTCTCAGGAATGTTATCCAAGATAGAACTGAAGTTGGAACTGTTTCCTCTGAATTGAGGTTAATGAATGAACTGAAACTTCTAAATTAAGAACACAAAAATAGTGGTAGCTTCCTCAAATTTGTAATTGAGGTGCTGAACAAGCTAACTGTTCTGACCCAAGTTTTGTTCCATCTGTATTTCCATGTATATATTTTAGGTGAAGAGGCTTTGGAGGAGTGCTCCTCGCAGAATTCCAAGCTTGTTTTCATTTGATTTTATTATCACGTACTGAGATGGCGAAGTATCGTTTTGTTGCTATCCAGGCAAATAACACTATTCATAAGTACAAAGTAATAGAATATAAGTGTTACAGCTACAGAGAAGGTGCAGAGAAAGATCAGTTTTGATGAGGTCTGATCAAAAGTCATATCAGATTCGAGAACAGCTTCTTCCCCTTTGTTTACAAACTTTGGTATCTTCTGTCTGATGGAAGTGTTAAAGACACCTCCCACCAGTTCAATTATGTTGACCACTTTCCTGAGCCAGCATGAAGTATAGACAGTCAATAGATGAAAGACTGGTTTGTGCAATGGACTGGGCTGCATTCGGAACTTAGTTTCTTACGGTCTTGAGCAGAGCAGTTGCCATACCAGGCTGTGACCTTTGGTAACCACTGCTAATGGCTGGTCCAGTGGTCAACAGTGGGTCCAGAATGTTGGTATTTGGAGAGTGTATTTCTAAAGTTGCCTAGCATTTGTAGGTGTTCAAATAGACAAACATTTCAAAGAGCAAACATTTGAGATATAGGGAAAGTGTTGAGCAAGTAGAACTAACTAGCATTTGAAGAGGTAGCTCAAACATTGTGCTGAATCATCTTTTACATGCTGTACCTAGTCTAAAATCTAGTCCCAAACAGTTACCTTGTGGCATTCAAACTTGGACTCCTCTTTAACTGAAGAATTTTAAATTGCAATTGAATGGCAATCATCCATGTTAATGATACAACATCTATTAAAACTACAGGGAATACTAGAGAGGCAAGAGTTGACTGAAGTATGGGATTTTCTCCTATCTTTGCTGAAGTAGAGTCCATAAATATTACTACAGCTAATTTGCTACATTTTAAAGTATTAAGCAGTATGGGAAATGCGCAAGGTGAGCTAAGAACATAGATGGCTCCTGTCAATAGTGTAATTAATTGGCCATAGCAAGCAACAAGTGCTGTAACATGCAATGACTTGCAGCATCTTCAAAGAAATGCAATTTTTAAAATTTTCTAGTCAGTAAATACAAAGTTCTCTTTGCAAAACTTTTTTCTGAAATGTTTGCATGAGGAAGATGTCATTAAATCTGGATATAGGGTGAAGAACTCGAGCATAATATTGCTAGTGATCATAGTAAATGTTTTCATTGATCTGGTGCTCAGTATTCCTAGGATTACTTTTATCATGTGTTCTTAAGGCAATTACAGGGAGAAAGCAAGAGAATGTGGTTGAGAAATATCAGTTATGGTCGAATAGATGAGTGGACTCAAAGGGCCGAATGGCTTAATTCTACTCCTGTATCTTGTCTTCTGTGGGTAGTTACACATTCTCAAAAAATGGTTTATAATGGTGCAATTTCAAAACTGGCAATAACACTGGGCCCTGAATTAAGGGAACTGCACTTGGATGTTTTGTTTCAGTGGGAGAGAGGGTGAAGCTTTCTATCTGCCTATTGTATCTGTGAGGATGAGTGCTTTAATAGACTGGGAAGAGCTTGCATTTATATTGTGTTTCACTTTCTAGAGATGTCAAATGCTGTTTAACCTGTTAATTTGAAGTGGACCTACAGCAATACCACAATCGATAACTGTTCAGCTCAATCTTGTTTCGGTGGGGTTTTGTGGGAAAGAGGTTAGCAAAGTCAACTTCCCACCAGATAATGCCATGAGATTTTTTAAGCCAATCAGTTGGATGTTGGTTTAATAGAAAGTTCATAAGATGAAACTCTTCTCCTTTTTTTTTTAGAGCAGGAAAGGCCAAGGAGAGATTTGATAGATATTTAAAATGGTTAGTTGAATAATTGGCAGGTTTAAAACTGATTAACAAGCCTGAGGCCACGTGAAAAGCTCTTTTACTGACCAAGATTTGGAATGTGATGCCTGATTTTGAATTTGTATCCATCATGCTGTGGTAACAGTATTCTAATCTCCTAGTGTATTAAACAAACAATCTGTTAAGTAATTGAGGGGATAGACTTGTTAGAGCACAGGGAAGTATGTTAGTTGCGTTACTGTTTGGCAAATCAGCATAGGCTTAATGGGCTGGCCTCCTGTTACTGCTGCTGCTTTGTCGGATGCCAGCATTAAAGTGATGGGGCGATTTGTCTCCTCTCTGGAATGAAACCACCTCTTGAGCTGAACTGATAAGTTGGACATTTTATGTTCAAGAAACAATCTCATCTCACTTGAATAACGAATGAACAATAGTGAAGCCATTCTACAATGAAAATGCATAATCTAACATGCTGAAATTTGTTTCCTTTCTGTAGGTTCCTGATGCCATTAAGAAATGCCAGCGTGCTGGTATCACAGTCCGTATGGTCACTGGTGACAACATTAACACAGCCCGAGCCATTGCTACAAAATGCGGTATTTTACAGGCTGGTGATGACTTTCTGTGTTTGGAGGGTAAACAGTTCAACAAACGTATTCGCAATGCAAAAGGCGAGGTAAGTGAGCGTTTTTAAACTGGATGCATATACGGATTTTTCCCTTGACATTGAATGTGGTGAAAGGGCAAATATTTAATATTTTCAGATTGAGCAAGAACGTATAGACAAGATCTGGCCCAGGCTCCGTGTCCTTGCAAGATCTTCGCCTACTGATAAGCACACTTTAGTCAAAGGTAAAACAGTGATGGTAATTTTTTGGTTTTTTTTTCTTGCACATCTAATTTCCAACAGTCGACCATTCACTGGTTCTGATTCAGCAGGCACTTTAAGCTTTGAATTCTAACTGGAATACCCTGGTGCTAATGACAACAGTTCTACCAATGTGCTCTGTAAATTGTACTGTACCAATGAAATTTTTCCAATAACTACTTGTATTTATGTTGGACTCTGTTTGGAAAATGTTTAACAATGCTTTGCTACAGCATACTTGTACAAACATTATTGCCACACAGGTGTCCAGATGAAGTGCCTTTTAAGGAGCAGAGAGATAGAAGGGAGAACATTTTGGAACATAGTGTATAATTGCCAAAGGTGCTGTTGAAGCTGGCATGTAGACCATACGGCGCTTTGAGCTGTGTCCTGTTTTGGAGACTGTTATGGACAGGGACTCCAAAATATTCTCATAGATACATTGCTGGAGGTCATTTTGCAGCAGTGTAAAGGAATTCTGCATGATGGAAACTAGCGCAAACAAATCATTGCAGGACTTGTATACCTTTTTAATGGTAAGGTTCTGGGAAGTGTTGCTGAATAAAGAGACCTTGGAGTGCAGGTTCAATAGTTCCTTGAATGTGGAGTTCCAGGTAGATAGGGTAGTGAAGGTGGGGTCTGGTATGCTTCCCTTTGATTTAATGCACTGAGGATAGGAGTTGGGAGGTCATGTGGCTGTACAGGACACTGGCCACTTTTGGAATACTGTGTTCAGTTCTGGTCTCCCTGCTATAGGAATGTTGTGAAACTTGAAAGGGTTCAGAAAAGATTTAAGGATGTTGCCACAATTGAAAGGTTTGAGCAAAGGGAGAGGCTGAGTAGGATGGGGCTATTTTCCCTGGAGCTGAGGGGTGACCTTAGGTTTATAAAATCTTGAGGGATATGGATAGGGTAAATAGCCAAGGCACTTTCCCCAGGGTGGAGGGAGTCCAAAACTAGAAAGCATAGGTTTTTAAGGGGTGAGGGGAAAGATTATAAAGTGACCTGGGGACAACGTTTTCACAGGGTGGTGCATGTGTGGAATGAGCTGCTGGAGGAAGCAGTGGAGGCTGGTACAATTACAACAGTTTTTTTTTTAAAAAGGCACCTGGATGGCTATATGAATAGGAATGGTTTAGAGGGAAATGGGCCAAATGCTGCAAAAGGAATTAGATGAATTTAGGGTATCTGGTCAGTATGGATGAGTTGGACCGACAGGTCTGTTTCTGTGCTGTACAGCTTTGTCTCTAAAGCATATCTAGTTAGTGAAAAACTCCAAGCAGCTCTTACCACTAGAGCAGGACAGTACAGTTTTTCTTAGCTTGTTTCCCCTAGTTACTGGACATTGTGTTTTGTCGTAGTGAGAGCTTCTATACAAGTAAACTACAGAATTGGATACAAAGCTAGAAGGCTTTTTTGAAACTACAAATCTAGCTGTAAATTTATGGAAAAGACTGCCACCTAGTGCAAATAGTGCAATATTGAATAGAAAGTTTCAAAGTCATAGCGATGCATGAAAATGTAGAAGACCGAGATGCACAAGTTGAATAGTAACACTGAAAGATCAGATGCTGAACGCAAATGCAGTGAAATTTTGGCCTTGGACTTGATGGCTAATTTTGTGCACTTGCAGTAAGAGTGGAAGGTTGAAGTCTATTGCATAGATTTACAAGAAATGGCCATATTCTTTAACATTCTGTATTTCCTATCTGTTTTTAATGAGCGCTACTTTTCCATTCCTGCTGCAATTTTTCTGGTTTCTTGAATCAAATAGTAAACTTTTCAGTGGTATGGGAAAAGAGCAAAAGTCATTAGAATGCTGATGGATGAGTCATTGGGTAACTTTTTTTGCTGTATCATTTTCACTTTTCTTTACAGTTTTTATAGACTATAATTTTAAGAACTTTGCTAGTAGAACCCCATCTCCTTAATGATAACGTCACTCTTAGTGGGAGAAAATAGGATGGAAGAGATTATTAACATTCAAATTGCTTGTTCCACATGCAGAAGGTTGTGGAAAGGATGGCTCAGGCTGTGGATGAACTGAAGTAGTGTTAAATTTGGCTAATTTTCTGTTCTTCCTTTTTCTGTTCTGTTCTTCCTTTTTCTGTTCTGTTCTTCCTTTTTCTGTTCTGTTCTTCCTTTTTCTGTTCTGTTCTTCCTTTTTCTGTTCTGTTCTTTTCTTCCTTTTTCTGTTCTGTTCTTCCTTTTTCTGTTCTGTTCT